AAGTCAGAGGGGGCTGGAGCTGCCGTACTATTCGTTGTGAAATATGCATGCATGCTAGACATCTTGCTCATGGTCCAAATGATGTGGGCCTTGGCTGGTGTTAGAAGACAGACAGAATAAATCCTCCGACACGGTTCTGTTATTTTAGCTTTGCAGGCTCTGCCTCTGATGGCATTGTGTTGCAGAGCTCTTCTGCCTTGGAGTTCCTATGGGCACAGCTCAGTCAGGTGGGGGGAGGGGATCTTTAGCTCTGTGATACTCTTTGGTTCTCTCCTGCTCCTCTAAGGACATAAACCAGAAATGGCATTAGATAGGATCCCGTCTCTGTTCCTTGATGCTGGCCGTAGTGACCTATTGCGTATGTAAATCCAGTGGTTTTATGTTTGCCCCTGGATCAGCGTTAGAAATAACCGGGATCTCATCGTCATGGGAAACCTTTTCATCCTTGGCCTGTCTGTGTGGCTGTCACGGTCAGGGTCAGAGGTAGGAGGGATCTGCTCATGCCCAGTGGACAGCCTTTGAATCTTTCTGCATAAAATTTTGTAGGAGAGTATAATACCCATCCCCAAAGTACCCAGAACAACCCTGGTTTGAAGAAATTCCAGAAATGTGTCTATGGATAGCAGCAGCATCTCTGTGCCTCAGAACCACAGATAGTAAGACAAAAATCTTAATCATCACACTTTTTTTTAAACACTTAAAATATTCCAGCGATATTCAAGTACACACTCTCATCCAAACGAAGCTGGTAAGAAGCATGATATAAAGACTGAATGAGAGTGTGAGGTGATATCCTTGACCTTCTGAACTCTTTCCGAACTCTTCTACCACTGCTTTGAACTCAGCACATGCAGGATGTTCCATTTCCTCTTCAGTAAGAGCCATTGCTTCCCCACTTCCCGTCCCAGTGGGTCAATGGCCCTGGGCCAGCACATGTGAACCAATCAGAAAGCATGGGGGCGTGTTCGACACCAATCAGGAGGAGGTGCTGTGACAAGGAGATGGACAGGGTCCTGAGTCTGAAGCTTGGCTCATTGTCGGCCACATTAGGGAGCCCTGGCGCAGGAAGTCTGCCAGGCAACACGCAGCAACGTTCAGGGGTTACGTCCCTCTTTGTCCATCACCAGGCGTGCCAGACTTTTTCACTCTGTAACTAGCGGTCTGTCATCAATCCTAGTAGCTGAAGCCCTCCCCTCAAGCATCTGGCCATCAGCTCATCTCCGACCCACCCCTAAAATCCCTCTTCCCCAAACTAGGGGTTTTGGAGGGGAAGTATCCTACCCCTACCCTACCCTAACAGCCTCTCCATCTGGTGTCTTAATCCTCAGTGTAGTTTTTCTCCAAACACCAAGGCTGTCCTGGTGTGTCGGAGGCCCCCACTGTCCCATAATCGGCCCCAGCTCAGTTCAAGCTGGCCTGTATCCTCAGCATATTTCAGGAATTACACAGACCACACCCCAGTGGGGACTTCCAGAGGATGCTTGGATTTTCTTTGCATGTTTTTGTTCTCTTAAGGTTTTGGGAAACTTTAGCATGTTGTTCTTGCACCGGTTTCATCTGAGCACCGCATCCTTACTGAAAGCATAAAGTTTCTCAAGTATCCCTGTACAGCATCGACTGTGTGGTCGCCGTGTCTGTTTCCTGTTTTTATTGTATATTTATCAGATTGTTTATGAGACGTGGTCCATTAAACATTCATTTGGAGATCTTGTGCTGTTGTCTTTCTGCAGTCCTGCTTGTTTCTTCAGTTTTTCAGTGGAGACACACAGCAGTCTGTGACCTACATGCATGTATGTAATGATATAGCTCCCCTCCACCATGTCCTGTCACACAGCCTGTTTATTACAGGACCTCTGAGCTCTATGATTGGTGCACATGTTGTCTCTGCGTTTGACTGCTTGCTTTTTTTCTGCATGCATGTTTATTATGTGGTTGGCTGATATTTTTCATGCATGCTGATTCTCTGAAAAAAGCAGCAAATAAATGAAATAATATATATGTGTGTGTCTGCGTGTGTGGTCCTTGGTTCTCAGTACCAGCAGGTAGTAATTCTGCACAGGCTGTCTAGTTTTATTTATCTGGTGTTTTCAGTAGACTGACTGTGCCCAGGTCAGTTCGGCTCATCTTCGTTCCCTCCTTGGTACCGGCTTCACTATAGAAAATCTGATGCCTTTTAAATGGCCTAAACTTCAAGGTGAATTCCCCAGCCAGCGTGTCGCTCAGCTGCTACTGCTGCGCTCTCCTGTTGTTGTTCTATCCGAGTTTTTAAACCACTGCTTGACTGTGCATGGAGGTGTTGGCATGAAGAAAAGTTTGATCTGAAACGGTGGAGGAAAGTATTCATAGACAGACTGCAAATCCATCACTCTGGATCAAAACTGGTCAAGCAGAGAATTTACACTGCGATCCAGAAGAGAAACGTCTTTCCAAATGTATCTTTTGATGTCCTTTGAAATAGGAAAGTACTAAGCTAACAGAGTCCATGTTGGTCTCATTTGTGATTTGGGCCAGTGACGTTACAGTGACAGGCACAGCATCCCAGACACGACCCTACTAAGCCGCACTGTCCCCTGTGTTACTTGACAAGCAGAATGTCTGCCCAGGAAGCAGATTGCTGTGCTTCTTCTCTGGGATGTATCTCAGTCCCCGCACATGAGGGAAACCCATTTAGGCACTTATCAGGACTCCACCATCCTGCCTTGTCTTCCCCCATAAATACATGAATACACAAGCCCTGACATCCTTGACTTTATCCTGAACGAGAGGATGCTAAAATAATGATCCCTCCAGTGACCGATGAAGGAAAATCATCTACAGTGCCAGATGTTATGCAATTAACATATTTGTAACGTTTAATTTTGGCTAAATTATCGGTGACATGTAAGGGGTGCGTTTCTACATTTGACCAGGAGATGGCGATAATTCTACAATCAACACTGGGTATGGCTTGGTGGCTAGAGCACTATTTCTCAAACTGGTCCTTTGGGATCCCCCAGACAGTCCATGTTTTTTGAGCAAAAATGTGGACTGTATGGCAGGGAGCTGTGAGGGAAAACCGTGGACCGGCCATAGGTCCCTGTGGACTGGATTGAGAGACAATGGGCTAGAGCATCCATGAGGACTGGCCACAATTCGGCTGTTTTGGCTGGTTGTCACCATTGTTGACAGGTCATGCTGGGACGGAAAACAGGTGGTGTGTTGACTTAGACACTCAGGATTATGCTTCTGCAGTCATGTGATCTCCACAGTCATGTGATCTCCTCAGTCATGTGATCTGCTCATGGTTCCATCAGTGCTGTTACTTCCAGCTTCTGACGTCTATAGCGGTAATAGGAGTAAATTGAGTTTCCATTTGGGCAGATAACAGTCTAACTGGACAGTGAGTGCAAGCTCACTGGAGAATGCTGTCACTATTCTCATATTCTATCAGGTCCACTGCTCTTTTAAATTAGATTATATTCTTGTAATCACACTGACCAGGTTGACACTGATGAAACACTTACAGAAATACAAAAGGTGACAATATTGGTTTTAAAATATATATACAAAAATCAGAACAAGGGATTTGGAGAAGCTCTGTGTAGTTTTAGGTGTCTCTGTATTTAGTACAAATGTTAACCCTTGATGTGACAAATCACTCAACCCAGACTCGCACTGATGTCAACTCACACTGATGTGCAGAGTAAAAAGAGACAATATACATCATTTTTGTACCCTTCAGACCGTTGCCTAGAAATTGAATAAAGACAACACACTCTAATGATAAGCAGTTTTAAGGTCAACAAAGGCGAGCATGCTTCACTGCACATCCAAAGTGCATGCTGATCCTAACTGTAATAACAAAGCTGTAGAATAATCCCAGACTAATGTTAATTACACTGTAGGAGTTTTTCCATTGTTTTATTTATGTTTATGACTCCTATTTGCTCCTTGTTTGCATGGAATGCATGGAAAATGAGACAATTTATCTGTAAGACTGAAACTTGATATCTTTCCTCATTTGAGAATTTGAATAGCAATGAAACAATGAGGAAATGTGACTTTGAAACTGTGGAAAACCAGCTCTATGCCAGGTTTCAGCCACTCAGATGCTGTGCTGGGAGACAGCAGTCATACATGTCAATGGGAATAATTATTATTCTGGGGTCTCAGAAGCCAAACCATTGCAGAGACAGAGAGCATCCTGCTGTGTTTTTGGGTCAGACTCAGTCAAAACAGATCAGCACCACCAAAATTTTCCTTGGAGGTACCAGATTTATTATTACAAGGGTTTATTATAGAGTTATTGATGAAATTATATTTTCTTCTACTGAGACAAAACTGACTATATTTGCAGATATTACTCATGTGTCACAAGTAGAATGCTCAGTCCAGATGGACGACAGAGCACAGATTGGAGTGACTGGCACAAAGTCACGCATCAGTCAGTGCTTTTCTAAAAAAAAAAACTTGCTTTTCTCCAGCTGGTCCTGCTAATATGCACTAGAACAGCCTGTAATCCTTCAATTATTCAGCTGCTCCAGTCACTTACAACGTTAGTTATGTCACGAGTTGTAGTATTTTGACAAGAAGAAACTGTGGTTTTAGACATCCTTGCTTTCCTCAAACAATGAAAGATTCTCCACTATTTTATTATACCTTTTCGAAAAATGCTGGCAAACATATTTCCAGAAGCACTGCTGTTAAATGCAATGCTTTGTATTAGAGCAACTTACCAGTCTTGGCTGACTGTTCCCATCTAAGAAAATGTTGAAACAGAACTTACGCCAGAATAATGAAGATCCTTAAAACGCAATGTCACCCTTAGCATCCCACAGCTACATTTTACACTGATAATATGCAAAGCCAAACTTCTCAGGCTCTTCTCTCATGCTAACCTACATTTCTTACATGTCTGTGAACTCATAGTAAATAGGTTTGGCACATGGATTAAATTACTTTTTATTTATTGAAGGCCATTCCTGAATACAGCAGGAGATTTGAAGAGCATATATTTACATATCATTCGAACCACAAACCAAAATAACATTTATTTATTTCCCATATCTGTTTACTCTATGTTCACAAGAATCAGACCGCACAAGGCAAGGAAACACCCTGAACTAAACTGTTTTTTGTTGTCACTGTGCACTTGTTTTCTTATCTCTGTTGTACTTATTTACTTTACGCACATGTGCCTGTACTGCAAATATGTGGTTATCTCCCTACAACTGGTAGATCAATGTGTTTTGTTAAATTAGTCATCAATTTTATTTGTTTGAGAATTTCTCTTAATCACAAACTATAACATGGATGATATAAACTTCTAACTTGAAAGCGAAATGAGAGCCATTTGGGAAGCGTTTGTGAAGGCTAAGCACATCTGGTGAACGGGCTCAGAGTATCAAAATTCCTCAGTAAAGCAAAAAATGGACTGCATTGTTTATTTTTTATGCACTCAAAGCAAAGGTCATAGTCAGGACGGTATTTTCTCAGGATACATTTGTACTGTAATCTCACTAACATTAATTTGGCGTTGAGGCAGGAACTGCAACATTTACATGAAAATAGTGTGTATTGGGTAGATCAAACGGCAGCGAATACAGCACCACCAGCTGGCCACCGAACATGGAAAGCCGGCGACGTTTTTCTCACATATGACATTTAAATCCCCCCTCCTCCCCGGCTGTCCCGATCTCGCGAGAAGACAAACACCAGCGATGAAAGAATCAGCGTCTTCTCGCGAGAATATCGGGAGTGGCACTGTGGGCAAGAGCGCGGAGAGGGAGGTGGAGGAGGAGGGGAGGCGGACGTTGGCCAGGCTTGGTTAGAGGGAGCGGTTACAAGCTGCGATGGGATTCCGGCAGCCCGAAGTGAAACTGTAGAGAAACGAGCTGTACGTGAGGACTTTTCCGTCACGTATTTCACCGGACGGCGCTCGTCGGCGGGGCTTTGTGTCCCTCTGCCCCCTAACGGTGGGTCGCTCGCGAGCTTTCCTTTCGTTTAGCGGTTGAGTCCCGGTCCGGTAACGGTCGCTCGGTCCAGGCTGGACTTCAGAGCGGTCCCTGTCCAAGTTTGCGAGTACAGCCCGCCTTGACTTTTGTGTGCACAGTTAACTAGCTGGTTAAGCGTGTCATTAGTCGCGCTTCTGGTTGTACAGTCCGTGCGCTTCGTGCTGTGTGAGCGGCTGCGGGGCTGGTGTTTCAGACCGAGCTCTCCTCCGTAACAGAAGCCCCGAGGGACCGGCTGTCCCGATGCCATGTGTGTGCCAAGCCACCCACCGGCGGGCTGGTAAAAGCCCTGCCGGTTCGTAGAGTTTCGTGTGCTGCTGGTACGGGTGGCGGTAACTCGGGGGGGCTGGTCTGGGTCGGAATTCCGGTAAATATTGATGATGATGATGATGATGATGATGATGATGATAAGGATGATAATGACTCTGACCTGATGTTGTCTGGTTTGGACAGCGGATAAGTTGCCATTAGGTCGAAGTATCTTTGTCATCTTCAGCTGTATGATCCATGGGTCATACACTGAGATGATATTTCCATCTCGTTGATCGTAGTGCAAGAAATATAAATGTATAAGACACGGCATTAAGGCACAGACTGAAAAATACACTATAGTAAAAAATACAGTTAACTGGCCCTTATAGAAAATAGTCACGTAGAGCTGAGCCCAGCATAGCCTAGGAAGTCCCGGAGGAAGCCGTCTCGCTCTCTTAGAGTATAGACCGGCTTGGTCCGAGGGAGGGTTCCGGCTTCGGTCTTTTGCTTTTTTAATTTGGTCATGGGGTGCAGTCACCCCATGTCTGTAAGCGTCGTCTGTCCACTAATATGGCCCTGCTGGGCTTGATAGAGCTGTCGTTGGCCCTCAGTCCTGCCAATGACCTGGCAGAATGATTAAAGTTCTGCACGCACCATGTACCTGCTGGCCTCGAGGTGGCCCAAGGCTGTTAAGCTTTTCAGGCTGAATGATGCAAGATCTCAGAAACACCAGTGACTCTGCATAGTTTCTTATTAAGCTTTTTTTCCATATTTGAAATGATCAAGTAGAAAATATAGGACACAGTTAATTTAAATTACTTTAAAGTTCTCACAAGCCCCAGAAGTTGTCTTGGTGCTTTAGTGGGACATTAGTGTGCCCTGCTTCAGGAAAACTGTGTTATCCTGTTCTTCAGTGTGACCTTAAATTTGGCTGCAGTGTTGCTCTGCATTGCACCCCTGAGAACAGTGATGGTGTACATGTGATGGTGTCCTATATGTACGCACGCACATCCCGGCTGAGGAACAGTTTTTACCCCACATCCATCACACTTATGAACTCGCAGCACTGATCTCAAACATTCTCAAGCAAAACCCCACATGTGCATTTTCCTTATTTATGTGCATTTAGTCCACTTGAAAACTCTACCTCTGCGAACGTACTTACCAGCACTATATATATCTTGTACATATATAGTGACTGTATATACTCTCCCATTTATGCCTCGAATCTATTTAATTGTAAATATACTGTGCATCTGCTGGCGTGTTCCAAACTAAATCTCATTGTACTTACAATGACAATAAAGCATTTATGTTATCTATAGCTAGTGCTACTTCTCTCCATGTTTCTTTGCTCAGAGCTCAATGGTTTGCTGGATGCAGCTACAGGATGGCATTTCTAGACCCTGCATTCTCTTTGTTTTAGTGGTCATCAAGAACAATTTTCTCTCCAGTTAAACTTTGTATCTTTATTTAAGAAAATAGCTTTAATTGAATATGAATCTGCTCTGTTATGATTGCACGTTCCCGGACAGTTCATAGCGTTGCTCATGGAGGTCGGTGAACAAAAATCTTTGAGCATTCCATTTAGTAATGATATTCATCATCAGCTTGTGGCATTTTCATTTTGCATTTGCTGTTTGTATGTTGTAAGTCAGTATTATAGTGCTGACTCAGGCAATTAAAAAGTGCACAAACATCAAAACACAACATTCCAGCTTAACTTTATTTGCCTTTGTGTTGAAAGGGCTGTGGCACCAAACAGCATGAGTGAATAAAGGTGGTTGAACCGGACTCACTTGGTGGTTATTCCTTCTGGAGACCCAGGCTCTTAGCCTGTAAACTGCTTAACAGAATTATAATGGTGCCTGTACTTACTTGTAATCGTAATTCCCTGCAGGGTTTGTTTATCCAGGTCTTAATCTCCAGCTGATTTACTGGTCTTTGAGCCAGCAGGACACCCCTGCACTTAAAATCAGAGCTGAACTCATTCTTTCTGATGAACAAAAGGTTGAGAGGTTGTGAATTTGCAGTCTTGTTTGGTGCTTTTACGAGTAGATGTCCTAAGGTTGCATTAACGTTACAGTAGAATTGCGGTCCTTAATAGCAGTGATCTATATGTTGTGTGTATAATAGGTTGGTTGTTTTTACCTGGGAAACTTAGTGCCGCGGCGCTAATTCAGTTGTTACTGGATTCCAGCCTTACCATGGCAATTTTATTTGATGAGGGAATTTCATTTTCACTTGGACACTGCATACACTTATCATGGTAAGTCATATATGTTCAACTTGTCAGTGAGTAGTTCAGTTTTAATTTTAAAATCAGCCCCACTGAAATGAAATGTAAACTCTTCATTTTTCAAAGTACCTTTTGAGTAAACAAGCATTGAGTGACAGCAATTCCTATTGATCGCCTTGGGATTCATCAGCAGTATTTGTAACACTTCATGTGTTTAGGTTTATGGCACACTGAGCTGACTGACCTATACTTTAGCTTTTAGTGTATGTGAAACTCATCCTGTTTAGTGCTTTTCTCAGGAGGAGTCGTAGGAGTTTACATATTACTAATGCCAGTGTTTCAATACAAAGGTGTATCACATGGCTAGGATATTTTTTCTGTGTTATTGCCATTTGCCAGCACTGCCATCCCATTTCCTGTAAATGTACTGTCAGGAGTTTTGCATAACTGGAAAAATTTGATTCTCTGTAAAATTCTACAAAGCTCTGGTTGCTGAATTAGTTTGGAAACTGTCTTTTTTAGCTGGGGATGATTTAGCAAAATTAAGCTCAGTTCTGTTTCCATTTATTCTTCCATGGAAAGACTGGTGGTTGATTAAATAACCACAGATTTAGGGCTATTTTTAAATGGAAAATAAAGGTATCACTGCCACATCTGACTTAGCAATCAGGCCCATGTGAATGTGGGAAGAGACACGATGGCTGTTTCAAGAGATCTGAGATCATATTCTCACCGTGTTTGTGATGTTTGCAGAGACTTAAAGCTGAATCTGATAGCCTGCTGTTGGTTTAGTTATAATTGGCCACTGGCATGTTTTCTCTGGTTGTGCTCGTCACAGCACACCAACAATTCCGTTGTACTGTTGTTTGTGGCTTCTTCGACCAAACAGCCTCAGTAAAAAAATATTCAGCTTTGGAGCTGGGGAAAAATCTGCCAGTTATTGTGAATCACTTTGGCTATACAAGTTTAGCATATGGTTGCCGCTATCGTGGGATACACATCACAGGCACCTCTCCCCACACACTAGCTACACAAAGTCTTTGAAACTTTGCTGTTTTTGGAAGGTAATGACCAGAGGCAAGTGGTTATCAACCCAGTACTGGAGGATGTGACCTTGCATGGTGTTTGGGCTTAACGATGCAGCTGCATAGGATAGGAGTAGGTGTGAAAGGAAGCCTGGATTTACTTATTAGAATGTGTCAGAACTTGGAGCTGCCTTAATACCACATATGAGGAGTTAACAATTTCTATAAAATAATCATTAAATTAAAATCAGAACTCCCTGTAGTGAAAAAGTGAATGTCAATCCGTTTGGGGATGTTTTTGTTCTTCACTTCTCCCTATCATCTTTTTAAACCTTAAATATGCAACCACCAGACAAATACTAAATAATTTATTTATTGATATACTGTACTGTATTTGTTCAGAGGGTTTTGTTTGTGTTAGCTTGTACATTTCTCCTCTTCTAGGGCATTGTTTATGGACTTGATCTGTAAAGCAGAAGGGATAATTATTTCATCTGAAAATATTTCTTTTAATGGTAGCTAGATTTATCTATTGCTTCTATATGTTGAGGTATTAAACTTTTCACTTGCAGTAGTCTGTTGTTAGTTAATCCTGCAATTCTTTTTATGTTGAAAATTGGTGGCTGGAACATTTTTAATGCTGGTGCGTGAGACCCAGAGACAAAGGTTTTGTGAGATTGTCCCGTTTCTTTTCCCGACTTCTGTTTCATGTTTTCTCTCCTTGGTCATGTACCCAGAAGTGTGCTTGGTTGGGTTTCTCACATGTTGGGTGTCTCACAGCAGCTCAGATGGTCCATTTGGCAACACCTTCATGAGATGTTTGAACGGCAGCCAGATGGTCCTGTGCCCATATGAGCTCCCTGTTGATCTTTAAAGCTCTGCTTGGTGCTTGGTACTTGAAACATGAAGTGTAGCAGGAAAGAGCAGTGCAACATTCAGCCGTTTATAAGAAGAGTAGTGCTTTTCTTTTTAACCATTTTGCTCCTTCCACTAGCTTTCTTTTAGCTTGTGTAAATATTTCATTGTATTGGAGGAGAATGTGCAGAGTACAGCTGTGTGTCATACAGGGTTGAGGCCAAGGACGTGCTGCTGTGGTTAAGGGGCCTGAATGGGACCTGGTGTGAGGACAGTGTGTCCCCGTCCCTGGAGTCAACCCTGCTGTGGCTTTGCCTGGCACTGGAGCTCTTGGGAGCCAGAGTGGAGCACGTGCTCCTGTGGTTGATAAGTGAACTTCCCATGGGATTGGCGCTGTTTGTGGACAGCACACAGCTGCTCTCATTCTCTCTCTTTCTCTCACGCACACACACACGCACACACACACACGCACACAACACACACATGCACAGTGGAGGCTGTGGAATGCCTGTCTTCTGACATCATTTCCTCATCTGTGCACTTGAGGAAGGAGGCAGCTGCTTGCTGTATTGTTGACTGATTCTTGTTTATTATGTCCTCCAGCTTAAGGTTTGCTGAATGGACTTTTCGCTTCTGCTTCTTTGTAGTCTCATGATACAATTGATGCTGTGGTTTTCATATTGCGTTCTTTGTGCTCGGAGCTGTAATGTTTTCAGACGGAGACTCTAATGTCTGAATCAATAATCAGTGGAAGTAATGTATGATGAACTGCCAGTGTTTAAGATTTGTGATGGAAACCTGGTTTTGTATTTCAGGGAAGAGGTGGTTGAGAGAGCGATGCTGAACAGCGTTTGAACTGTGCTGATTGTCACCATACAGTATCCTAGCAGAAATGGGCAGGGATAGTTTCTCATGGTCATTTTGCAGCTCAGTGATGGAAATAATTAATTTATCAGTAAACTGTGTCAGGTTTCATCCTGGCGCTGGGCAGCTGTCAGTCTCCTTGGAAACCAGCAATATTGATAGTGAGTATTCATTCTCTAAATTAGTCTGTAGGCAAGGATTGCACATTCTGCAATGGTAATTTGGTAACTAAGGACTCTAATTTGTGGTATAGTGTCTTATTTCAGTAATAAGGGACTGATTTTGATAGGTTAATTTCAATATACTTGCTGCATTTCTGTACATTACTCACATATTTACACAAATGATGCTGTTGCTACTGATGCTTAGCATTGGTTCCAACAGCAGCACAGTGCTGTGCTGGCTGCATGCCATTAGTACAACTGTGGAACGTCACTCTCACAGGAAAGCCTGTGTATTGGTCCTGTAGTGGGGTGGCCCTTTCTCCTGTGCTGAGGGACTTAGGCTGGTATTTTGTGTGTGTGTGTGTGTGTGGGTTATATTATGTATATATTACATTGTGAGGACCAAATTTCCCCAAGATGTGATACAAACCTGTTATTTTGACATTGTGGGAAAAAAAAATCTGTGACTGCAATAAAAAAAACTAAAAATGTAAAAAGTCTTGTGTTTTCTTTGGTTACTTAAGGTCAAGGTTAGGGCTGGGTAGGTTGTCATTGTTAGGATTAGGGTTTTTCCCATAGAAATGAATGGTTGCTCCCCACGCAGATATGAATAAAAACGTGTGTGTGTGTGTGTATATATGTCTGGTGAGATTTTCCTGGTAAATCATTACTGCCCTTTTGCTTGTCATCATTATCTTTGTTTCTGGGTGTATTCAAAAGCTTACAGTTCTTGGGCTTGAATCACTTTATAGTGAGATAAAGTGGTCATGTTTCCATCTTCCTCCACTTGTGAGTTTCATTGGCCTTTCCAGTGTAGTCGGGGAGATGGCATTTGTACAGGGAGGTCACAGACATTCTCGGAAACTCCCACTGTGGTGAGAGATTCGCACATAGGCTCTGTAATTACCACAGGTGCCTTGGGGTCAGCTTTTGCTAAGCTTAGCGTTTAGCAAATGGCCAGTCCGGGTCCACTTGCATAGACAGTTTGTGTCATATTGTGATTAGATGCAAACATTTTTCTTTTCTGAACATATCCATTTATGGTTTCCTTTAATATCTTTGACGGGATTAGGGTTACCCTGATCTTAATGGTGTCTTAGTCTTCACAGACAACGTCTTGAAAGCTTGTTTGCATTTCAGCTGCCCCCTGTGTCCTGTTATTCCCCGTTTGACATCTATATCTTCACACTAGGACTGCTACTGCACAGGTTGTACATGGGCTGGTTTTTATGGACATGCACATGCCACAAACAATGGTCTCTTTAAGTATTAGCATGGTCCTGGAAAAACTCAAAAAGCTCTACTTTTTTTTAGTGGTCATTGTTGACACATCACAACAAAATGTGTCCTTCATGTAACCCATATGTGACATTGTGACATAGCAGGGGGCAGCTAATTCAGCAGCTGGGGAGCAGTGCTTGGGGGTGGTACCTTGCTCAGGGTGCCTTGCTGGTCGGGGATTCGAATCTGCAGTCTTTCCATTACAAGTGCACTTCCCTAACCATTAAACCACCACTACCCACACTTTTGTAATGGTGGGAGCTTGTGAGCAGGTTGTAGAAGTTTCCCCTGCTAAAATATTTCATTAGCTTTCTGAGATCTGCATAAAATGTAAGTGTAGTTGTGCTTATTAATGAACAGGGTCTTTGTGCAGATGGTATGCAGGTCTGCTTGGTAGATCTGTTCATTTACAGCTTTATAAAGGAGTACATTCTGTCAAATTCCACCTCCTAATATCAAGAAGTAGCATGTGGGGAAAGTGCCCAAGCAATGCCTCTGCTCACTGTTCTACAGTAAAAGATCAGTCCTGCTCCTCTCCCACATTTTACTATGTTCTCAGACTGTGAGTTGGAAGCCAAGGCACCCATAGAGCTGTTACAATGGCCCTTTGTTAATAAGCTGTTTTCTCTCTTCCTCTTCTCACTCGCCCAGATTCCAGAGGTTCCTTCAGCTTCCTGGATCCAGAGTTTGCTGCCCATGCCTGACTGGACTGCATGAGGACGTGGTCCGGCAGTAGGAAGTCACAATGTCTTAACAGCCTCCATCTCCTGTGGGAGTCCTGCCCCCTTTACCCCACCCTCTCCCGGAGATATGAACCTGCAGCAGCGGTCAATGGGATCCGATCGCGACCTGCACTCGGCGACCTCGTCGGTCAGCCTGGCCTCCGTAAGGAAGGCCCCACGGAAGCGCCGGCTCTCACTGCGCTCCTTCTTCCGGCGTGAGCCCAAGCGCCGCTCCCGCGACCTTGGCGTAGATGGCATCGCCAGCGTGGAGAGCATCCGCTCTGAGATGTGCATGGATAGGGCGAGGGGGAACTCCGGCTCCTCGTCGTCGTGTTCGTCGCGCTCCTCTCCGCAGCCTCCCCCCGGAGAGCTCCTGGAGTGCCCGCTGTGCCTGCTGCGACATGCACGGGACTGCTTCCCCGACATCATGACCTGCCCCCACCGCTCCTGTGCCGACTGCCTGCGCCAGTATCTGCGCATCGAGATCTCAGAGAGCCGCATCAACATCAGCTGCCCCGAGTGTGCCGAGCGCCTCAACCCACACGACATCCGCACCATCTTGGCCGACCGCGCCCTTATGGAGAAGTACGAGGAGTTCATGCTGCGGCGCTGGTTGGTGGCTGACCCCGACTGTCGCTGGTGCCCTGCGCCAGACTGCGGGTAAGTCTGAACTCCCCTGCCTTGGCCAGTCTGTGGGAAAGAGGCCATTACCCATGCTGCCCCTCTCTGGCATGCTGTTTGGTGGTCTGTCCTGACCACTTCCAATACTAAGAACAGAATTATAGAGGACAGTAAAAATCCCTGGATGTCGTTCTTACCCCGCCCCAAATATCAAGGATACACTGGTTGCATCCTTGCCAAACAAGAGCAATCCCATGATTCATTGTGCCCCAAGTTTGCAAGACCACTCTTGCCAAGACCACAAATACGATCTTTACATTCTTGGTATTGAGAAACATCTCTAGTCTGAGAAACTCCATATTCCCCAGAAGTCTTTGCTGTAATTCCAGCTCTCTTCTCAACCTTTGTGTCTGGTTAATGTTGAATGTAATAATGATGCTGTTTATTAGCAGTTGGCGCAGTGGTTCAGTGGGTAGTGCTATAGCCTTACACCACTAGGGTTGTGTGTGATGTTCTTCCTTGTCGGATGAGTTTTCTCCAGGTGTTCCAGTGTCCTCTCACAGTAAATACGTCTATTGTCTCTGTGTGTCAGTTTGTCTGTGTGCATGCAAGTGTTGTATGATAAATTGGCATCGCATTCAGGATGTCGTCTACCTTGTGCCCTCTGCCTCTCCTGGGATAGGCTCCAAGCTCACCATAGCCCTGTACAGCAGGAGCCTCAAACTCAAATTACCTGGGGGCCACTGGCTATGTGCTGCTCCCCCAAGAGGGCTACATGAGAAATCGCTGAACAAAAAAGTCCCATCTTTTTCAGCTTGAAATTAAAAAATTTTATCTATTAAAAAACATGGGCCTCTGATCAATTAAGGGAAAATACAATAGTACAAAGTAGAGATGAAATGTGAAATTTTATTATAGTGAGCAAAATTCACGGTTATCAGTATCGCAGTAAAGTATTAAAATGTGCTGAAAATGTTCAGAAAGTACTGATATACAAACTGCAATCATTTCACCAAGTTCTATACTGAAACCCATGAATACAATTACCAGCACTATGTATGTTTTGTTTGCAGAAACATTAAAATAATAAACATATGAAAACCATATCATCTCCTAAGACTTCCACTATTTACTGAACTTCAGACAAATACAAATAAGGCTGTCACATCATAGTTACGGTGGAAAATCCACAGAGAAGAAGGAAGGAGAAAATATTTAAATACAAATGTACACAGAATTCATTGGGCAAATGGACATTCATGTAGCTCAGAGGCTATGCCTCAAAATAAGTGGTAGCTTTTTTTCCCACTACAATGTATAGTGTTTGTTCAGAGCAGGTAACACTTATGCTCCAGTTTGCGACTATTAGCAAGTTAGACTGACAAACCATGACGTTTTCCCCAATTCCGAAGGTTGGGTGTTTTGTGACTATTCATTGAATAAATGTCATTTTAAATGATTATTAAAATTTATGATTTAAATAGTTATTTAAATTAACATTTCAATTATTTAAATTATTGTTTGAACGACCATTTAAATGATACCAGCAACCCTTCAAAAGATCTGTCAGTCACCCCTCAAACTCAGTGGGCGGGCTCTAAATGAAACATAACATCTGATTTGTTACATTGCAAACTAAGTCGCCATGTTCAGATTGATCTCACCTAGTGGTTTAAATTCTCATTTATAACCAAATCTTTCGGTTCCTTCCTAGAGACGCATTACAGAAACTTCCTAATTTGCAAATCCTATCTAAATATCAACTAGGGTTAGAACCTGATTTAGGAAAAAACCATTACAAATTAACAGTTCCTAAGTTATTTATATGACATTTATTTATTTGAATATTGTCACAAAACACACTCCATACCGAAGTTCCAACATCATGCATTGAGCTAAAAGTTAACTTACCTGGCATTAGCTATAAAGTAGTGGGTGTACACCAGACTTAGTCCCCTTAGAAGGCTGTAAAATCTACAGAATGCTGCCTTACACCATGTTCGTACTGACACAACAAACCCACGTAGCATGCTGTGCCTGGGCTCTCATGTTCGTGAGATTGTAGTTACTTTTGTTTCATGCTGGACAAGTTTCAGCCACGGTTTTAATGATAATTAAAATTGTAACTGTAATATTAACTGTTGGGAATTTTACCGTTAAACCAGTAACCATTTCATCCCTACTACAAAATAAAGATTGATTTGAGGGCGAGATTAAATAGTAAAATAAAAACATGTTGCAGGCTAGTAGTTTGAGACCCCTGCTGTACAGGATAAGTGTTTGGGGAAGGATTGATGGATGTTTTCTTGGGCTTTGATTCTTAGTGACTTGTGTACCTAAAAGAACATTCTATCCTTTGTATACATCTGTATGTTTACAGGAATTGATAGTTCAAAGGTAAACAGGAAAACCACGTATCCTGCATAATGTATAGATATTTCGTGTTTATTCTCAAACTACTGAAATGAGAGTTCTACGACCTCTTCACTGCGAAGTAGCTGGGGTTCAGCTTCTTACCTGTGTTACCCTGGTTCCATTATATGTTCTACTTGAAATTGATAGAACCTGGCTTCTGGGGTTGGCTCTTGCTGTGCTTGCTTGCTTGCTGACGCAACCCATTTCTTCACACGGTGCAGGTATGCAGTCATAGCCTTTGGCTGCGCCAGCTGCCCCAAAATCACATGCGGCAGGGAGGGCTGTGGGACGGAGTTCTGCTACCACTGCAAGCAGCTGTGGCATCCGAACCAGACATGCGATGCGGCACGCCAGCAGAGGGCACAGAGCCTGCAACTGCGGAACCTGCGCTCCTCCTCCCTCAGCTACAGTCAGGAGAGTGGGGCTATTGGTACGTCAGCGTGGGGATGGGAGAGGGCCGGCGGTATGTCAGGGCGGGGCTGTGTGACTGGGGGCGGGGCCTGCATATGTATTCAGGAGCTCAGTGAACACAACTCTCCACAGCGGACGACATCAAGCCCTGTCCTCGTTGTGCCGCCTACATCATCAAGATGAATGATGGTAGCTGCAACCACATGACCTGCGCCGTGTGTGGGTGTGAGTTCTGCTGGCTGTGCATGAAGGAGATCTCCGACCTGCACTATCTCAGGTGGGGGGGGGGAGGGGAGAGCTCACTCAGATGGCTGTGGAGGGAGAGACCGGTCAGGTAGTGAGACCAACGTTGTCTCTCGTGCCTGCAGCCCATCTGGATGCACCTTCTGGGGCAAGAAGCCCTGGAGCCGCAAGAAGAAGATCCTGTGGCAGCTGGGCACGCTGGTGGGCGCCCCAGTGGGCATCGCGCTCATTGCAGGCATCGCTGTCCCTGCCATGATCATTGGCATCCCCGTGTACGTGGGGAGGAAGGTGGGTCACGTGCTTGTAGGACCTCTAGCATCTTGGGTAAACATGTGCAGGGAAGGGGTGGGGAGTAGCAGGGCCAAACTTGCACTGCTAGGGAGTCCTAAGGGTGAAATGGTAACATGGGTAGGGAACATCAAGAGGAGGTTGGGTCCATGCTCAGTACCCTACCTGTATGTGTGGGAGTGAGGCTAGTTCAAGCAGAACTATACTCCTTTAGCTCAACATGTGGAGCATTGCCCTGACAATATGAAGGTTGTGGGTTCAAATCCCAGGAGGCACACATGATTAACAGTAGTTACTACTGTAAGTTGCTTTGGATAACAGCATTAGGTAAATGTGAATGTGGATGACGTACACCCCCAGGAAAATGGGGCAGCTGCAGGGTGTTCGGAGCTGGTTAAACCCGTCAGTTCAGATCTGAGTCTTGTATGACTTCTTGCTGCCCTTCCCTGGTGATCCTCTGTTCTGGATGCTGGGTAACACCAGGGTGCAGACTTCCCACTGAGCGCTCTGGGTGTGAATGACTGCTCTCTCCCCCCCCCCCCCAGATTCACAGTCGCTATGAAGGGAAGGACGTCTCAAAGCACAAGAGGAACCTGGTGATTGCAGGCGGTGTCACATTGTCTGTCATAGTCTCCCCCGTGGTGGCTGCAGTCACAGTCGGTAGGTCCCCGCCTTGCCTCTGCGGGATTGGTGCATGCTGCGTCTGGCCAGCACTGAGCGTCCAGTGTTTCCCCGCAGGCATCGGGGTGCCCATAATGCTGGCCTACGTCTACGGGGTGGTGCCCATCTCGCTGTGCCGCAGCGGCGGCTGCGGCGTGTCGGCCCGTAGCGGCAGGGGCGTGCGCATCGAGTTCGACGATGAGAACGATATCAATGCAGCAAACGGAACGGCGCCCGCAGGTACTCGTGTCTTTACCCACCCCACCCCAGCCGGCCTGCCCCCTTTGAGCCGGCATCGCTCCGTCCCACAGACTCCACCTCAGCAGCGGAGGCGCGGAACAACCCCAGCATTGGCGAGGGCAGCGTGGGCGGCCTGACGGGCAGCCTGAGCGTCAGCGGGAGCCACATGGACCGTGTGGGGGCCACGCGGGACAACCTGAGCGAGACGGCCAGCACCACGGCTCTGGCAGGGGGTAGCATCACCGGCAGCCTGTCGGGCAGCGCCATGGTCAGGTGAGCTGGGTTCCTTGGCCGTTCTGGGGCATCCAGCAAGGTGGGAAGTATGACGATGTGCGTCTGTTTCAGGCTGGAGGTACAAGCGGATGTTCAGAAGGAGCGACACAGCCTGAGCGGGGAGTCTGGCACCGTCAGCCTGGGGACGCCCAGCGACTGCGCCAGTACCAGGGCCATGGCAGGCTCCGTCCTGAGCACCTATGCGCCCCTTGACAGGTCAGCTCCCTCTCTCTCTCTCGCATCGGGCCCTCTGTCCCACCCTGTCAGCTCACTGGTGCCCGTCTTACCTGTCCACAGGGATAGTAACGGCATGGAGGTGCAGGTGGATGTCGAGTGCAGAACCGGCAAACTGCGTCACCACAGCGGTGGGAGCGGCGTGGACGAGGCTGGCAGCGGGTGGCGTGGCCCGGGGGTGCCCAGGTGGGCCAGGGACTCGTCCTCCTCCTCTGGAAGGAAGAGCAAGGCCAGGCTGCGCAGGAAAGCTGGGGAGATGTGTGAGGACATGGAGGCCCAGTTGCTAAGCCAACGCAGTGGCACCTCCAGTGAGTGCGACTCGCCCTCCCTGAGCGGCAGCCTGCCCTCCGTGGCCGAGTCGCACTGCAGCCGCTGCTCCGAGCCGCCCGAGGTGGAGCTCGACCCCCCACGGGCTCCCCCATCCCCCGAGGGCGCATGCGAGCCCCCCGATCAAGCGCATTCAGAGCAAAACGAGACGCCTTAAGTGCTGTGGCGCCGGCCCATAGTGCAGCTTTCAGACTCTTTGGCTCAGGGCTCTTTGGCTGTTTTATTATTTTTTCCAGTCAAGATTGTCAAGTAAAGTCACTAAAGAGGAAACGCTGAATGTGTACGGGCGATGTGGCTAGGGTTAGATCAGGGGAGGCGCTGTCTTAGGGTGCCCCCTGCTGTTTCTGTGATGGGATGTGGACACCTTTTCAGGTCTGAGAGTTGTAGTCTAGGTTGCGAGTGCATCGGCCTGTGCCGCCGTGTGATGTTCGGCATGCCCACACGCACCTCAGCGCAGAGTAAGGGTTCTCAGATTCCTGCCAGACGTCCCACCAGCTGGGGATGGTTGAAGGATAGCTGCTGTAACCCTCCGAAGGGGTCACGGGTGCCAGGTCCAGGCACGGTGGGGGGGTCCCCCACCCGGGAAGTAGCATTGCAGATGTGAGGATCGGATTGCCACGAGCCAAATGGAGGAAGTGAGGGAGCAGGGTGGTGGTGGGGGGGGGGTCTCGGGCCGGTCCGGCTTCCTTACGCGATTCCTGTGACTCACGGTGCCTTTCCACAAACAGCTAAGCTAATCGCTCTTCACACAGCTCACGTCAGCTTCTCCTTCACTTACTCGTTCTTCCTACCAAAGATTGTGGGCCCCCCAGGACCAGCTTTTAAATGCTGTTGTTTCAGCATCTGCTCTGGAGACGGCCGACACACACGCATCCCCCTCGTGGGGCGGAGCCACTGCGCCCTTTGGCCTGTGAAGCTCACTCAACACTAGTGCCAGCATCACTGTTCACCTCCGCACGACACCTTAATGTATTTGTATATTTGTTTGCTACCTTGCTTTAAAAGCGTGTAAATGCTTATCGAAAAATATTAAAAATGAATTGAAATTTTGGGCATTGTTTCCATTTACACTGATGGCTACTGGTATGACATTTAGAACTGGTTTAACACTTGTTTTTAGTAGCTGCATTCTTCTGCCCCTGTGCTATATCACTATAATTAGGAGCTCTCTTTCTGCAGTTCCGCGTAACTTCCAAGTTAGCATCGGAGTTTGTGGCCAACCAGTCAGCAAGCTATGGCTGTAAGTGCCTCCCCAGCAGTTGGTGTTCCAACGCAAAGTACCTAGTCTGCAATACGTGCTAAAAAGGGTTTGGGAACTGCCTCCAAGGAACTACAACTGGGCCGAGTTCCTGCGATGTGAACACGACAGAAGTCCCCGGTTCCAGAAAAAGGTTATGGTTCCGAAAAAAGTTCCAGTGGTGCGGAAACACCATAAGCACAGCAACCCCCCCACCCCCCACGCGTCCCACAGAACAAAGCTGGCCTGACCACAAATATTTGGCATCACAACGTTTGCATTAGAAATATGTCAATAAAGCTCATCTGACCAAGCAGTCAAAGGGACAGTTCACCCAAAACTAAAAAAGTGTTTGAGGGGGTTTGGTGCCATCCATCTAGGTTGTTCTGCTGGGGATTCTGACGAATATGATGGAACTGAATGCCATTCATTCTGTGGTGATATCTTATGCGAAGCGATTCGATTGGCGTGTGGAGTTCAAATAGTTCGTACATTAAACTGCTCAGTTCAAAGTCTGTGGATTCTCTCAAATAACCGGGTCATGATGTTTGGTAAGAGACATCACTGTTGAATTTCTCAAATGTATTTTTCTGGCGCTGTAATTACCACACAAAGAATGCCATTCAGTCTCATTATATCCGTGAGAAGCCCGACATTCCTAAGGCCACTATCTACAAAACTAGGCGACTCCCAGCAGAACAACCTAAATGAATAGACAGCACTAACGCCGCTCTGAAACAGATCTTTTTTTCCATTTTGGGGTGAATTGTCCCTTTAAGGATGGGATTCTTAGTTTTTCGTGGGTCCTAATAAAAAAAAAAAATAAAAATCACTGTTCAGCTTACATCCGTCAAATATCCTGCTCATTCGTATTGCGTCATATGGACTTTTACAGAATCTGCTGAAGGCCAAGGTAAAGGCAGTTATCAAAAATGCCAGTAACACAACAAACTCAAATTTGAATTGCTTATGCTGAATAAGATGCTTCCCATATAAATTGCCAGTGTAGTCCAGCACAGTTGAATATAGAGTGGTAAAGCTGTTGTAAGTACCACAACGTATGAAATCAAAACATTTATTGCAAACAAGCATTCAGAATAAACTGCTGCAGAACCGCTTCCTGGCCTCCCAGTGTGTTCTGCAGTCCGGCTTGTCGGCTCAGCCCGCAGTCAGGAGCAGAACATCGGTGGCTGCCAGAGTCCAGTCTTTAAGCCTCTACATGTACAGCATCGCATGTAAAACGCCCTTTCTTCACTTTCCAAGTTATTTACATGACAGAACAACATACAACTGATGTGAAACCAGGAAGAGAAGAACTTGAGTTCATCGAGCATCAAACACAACCACTGGAAAAGGAAGTTAAGGAAAACATGAGCAGATTTGAATGCAAATTTCAACATTCAGATCTTCATATTTTAACCGATTAAATGCAGCAGCACAGATGTAGTCATTAGGCATTTTTTAAACACCGAATGTGTCACATTTACACCAAACCATCAGCACATTTCTGCATTGTAATCGTGGCCCTTGCTGCATGAAAGGATACGGCGTTTCGTCCTCTTCTTGTACATGATCCTGTAGCCACACTCTCTACACCTGATGGGATCCCGGGCCTTGATCTCATTTTCTGTGTGGCACTCTGCAAAAGCGTCATTCATTTAAGGGAAGCCTGTTACTCGGCACATACTGAGTTTTATAGCGAAATGCTTGGCCCATAAGCAGTACGGTTTAAGCTAACGAAAGTCACAGACAGCGTTATTAATAACAGTTAACCGGAGCAGATCATCGCGGAAAAATTACCTCCACAGATGTAAATCATAGGCTGCTGTTTGGGCGGCTGGAGATCTTTCTGAGAGTCCATGTGTGCTGTAAAAAGAGCATCAGATCAGCGTTAGAAAGGACCGATGGTTGTGGTTCAAATGTCTGCTGTCTTAAATTCCCTAACAACTCAGTAACAGTAACACACCGATGGTCCTTTGAGAAAAATACACTGCGCCAGCAAACTATCCCTTTACGTTTCAAAATCGCCGCTTTCATCTGCCGTTAAATATCTTAAAATGCATATTTCAGCTAAAAGCTCATACCCGCTAAAATAACAAACTTACCACTTCTAGCTATCACAGTTGCTCATGCGTTTTCTGTACGCCCCCGCGCATGCGTGTTATCACGGTCCGCGTCGTAATAAAACGTCTTTTGATTGGTTTTTAAAGGTCTATCGCGATTGGCCAGAAAAGTTACAGTATTTCGAAGTTACACGTGTGGCTGATTTAGGTATTTAGTACATAGACGTCGGAACGCTATTACAACAACAAGTAGTTACTGTTGTCTATACTGTAGGGCAGGGGTGGGCAATCTTATCCTCAAAGGGCCGGTATGTATGCAGGTTTTTGGGATAACCTGTAGGTCAGCTGTTCAAACCCAGGTGTGAGGACTCCTCAGCCAATCAGTCCTCTAATTAGTAATATAATTAGGGAGTTGCAGCGAAAACCCGCATACACACCGGCCCTTTGCGGATAAGAATGCCCACCCCTGTTGTAGGGGTATAGGGCATATTTAAAGACGTGGTTTAGGAGTACAGTCCATATTTAAATACCTGATATAAGGGTATAGCTTATATTTATTTTAAAGACACTTGAATGGAAATTCCTGAACTCAGCAAAATAGACAATGCCTTAGGAGGGAGTTTGATGGGGGGAGGGGCACAATTTATTAATTTATTATTTTTTGGGGGGGTAAATGAAGCCAAAGGCAACCATGTAAGGGGATTTGTGTAACTTCAACTCAAATGAGTTAAAGACACACTCCATAGTGTTGACAGCCTCAGGTCACACAGGTACCAGCCCGGGACTGTGCTCGGACACAGTATGCATAGTGCTGTTGAGCAGAGAGGGAACCACGAGGAGGAAGAGGAGGACAGACAGCACCATGAAGGGTGGGCTTTTATGAGCAGCCAGCTGTGAGTCTGGTTTAATCATTAAACACTATATTTCTGCTCTTTGCTCAGAGCTCCTGTTTTCTTCCTAGGAATTGTAAGTACTTTGAACTTGGAAATACTGGCTCTTGTGTGTAGCGCTCTGTGTTGGTCTGTCTGTGGTTTTGTCCCCATTTTGGTGATGGACTGATTATCTGCATTAACTTTAATAACTGATTATTTTTATGGGCATTGCTTATTGTGTTGTGGTTCTGTTTTTAATTTTGATCTTTAACAGGAAATCCAACCTTGCTGCAACCTCAAAACCTTCATTTTCTTCTGTCATTGAAAACACTCTGTCCTTGGGCTGCAGAATGTGACCACATGCATCCCACATTGGTCATTATCTGTCGTCTATCCTCTAACCAGTTACTTCTGACGTTTGCCATTTTATAGAGTAAAATGGAGGCAATTCAGTTTATAAGGGATTTTGACTGCTATTATGGTTATGATCTCAGTTCCGTTTTTGAATGCCGATAGATTTTATAGTTTTGTGTACAAAATAAGCATTATATCCATGGCCAATTCTTAAACGGCGTCCACACACGATGGAAACATCTGAAAACGATTTAAAAGCACTAGTGTATGGGATCCATTTGGCTGGAAAGATACTATATTTACGCAATAAGCGAGAGAAATTGAAGGAAATGGTAATGATTTTAAACCATAATCTGTATATGTTATTCTTTGTTATATACAAACAGATTAGCGTGCAGACTGGCCAGTATATAGTGAAGCAATAGGCTGTGGATTATTTCCATATACGGTCGTTTGACGAGAGGCGTGTCGTCGCTAACATGACATCTTAAAAAATTAAACTGGGTTAAACCCCATTCATCCGTCCGCTTTGAAGCCGTGTAGTTTGAACACGATGGCGTCAATTAAGCGGTCGATTCCCTACACTGACAAAGCGCCGGTGAGGCAGGGCATCTACAGGTGGGTATAAGGGCATCATCAAGCATTTATAACTCGTTTTGATTTTTTTTCTTTAAAATGTAATTGCTTCGTAAAGTTTGATCAAGTATGTCGCGATAGCAAATAAATAGATAAATAAAGCTGCTTTTCTGTTTGCCCTTATTTAGAGAGATACCACCCTAACTTCTTGAAGTATTTCCTTTCCATTTTACGGTAGTTATGAGTGTTTTGAACTGTTATGAAACTAGTTAGCCTGCGGAGTTTTGACTTGTACTTTAAACTGAGGGATCGCTGGCAGGTTCTCAGAAAGAGGGGGGGGTTATATTGATCAATGTTCAGATGAAATGCAAAGTGTCAGTAGGCCTAATTTTCATCATTAACAAGACTTCATAGTTATTTAATTTCATAATCAGATTTTTACAGTGCAAAATCTCCAGTGCAATAACAGTGCCTCAATGACAAGCAAAAGTACAAACTGGTACTCTTTTTTAATAATTCTAAAGAAAACAATAAATGTCTGGATTTCAAGTAGGCCTATTTGAGGATAGAGTGACATTACTATTGAGCGAAAATGTCGCTGGATTCAAGCTGAAGCTATTTCTGATCTACAAATCAGATAAACCCCTGTACATTCAAATCATAAGCAAACACACTGCCCGTGTATCACCGATACAGTCGGAAGGCTTGGACGATGCAAGTCTCTTGGATGATTGGTTTTGAATTGTTGCATGCCCCAAGTAAAGGAATATTGTTTGCAAAAGGGAATTTGTTTTAAAAATTATGCTGCTCCGATCGGCAATGCACCTGAACATCCTGTGGATCTCGACGGTATCCACCCAAATGTAAAGGTTGTTTATCTACCAGAAACACCACCCCTTTCCTACAGTCTATGGACCAGGGAGCTATCTCACCATTCAAGGCGAACTATTTAAATGCAACGTTTGCCAAAGCTATATATCCACAAAGGAGGATAATACGGTAACATTGCGCCGGTTTTGGAAAGGCTGCAGTATCCTCCGTTGTATCAAAAACATTGGAGCAGCATGGCTTCATGCGAGGGATTTGGGAAAGGGGTTTAAAGTGTTCCGCTGTTCTTGTAAGTGACTTTGAAGGATTTGACCAAAACGAACAGTTGGATGAAATAAGATAAAATTGATTCTCACAAAATCCCTTGATTTAGAGATTGGCGCTGAAGATGTAAAAAAAATTCATAGCCTACACCGATGGAGAGCTTATACGAATGAAGATTTTATCAAACTGGAAGAAGCGCGAAAAGTTGTGGGAGAAAGAAGAAAATATAAAAGTTGAGCTAAAAAAAATTCAGTGTTAAAAGACTATATATAACTACTGTTTTCTCCATTATTAATGAAATCGATCAGAATTGGAGAATATGGATCCAAAAATAGGCCTAGAACGTTTTGTAAAGGTAGTTCGATCGAGAAATGCGTTTTAATGCTACCTTGCAATCTATGAGAAGGAAAAAGGAAAAATATCGTGCAAACCAAAGCTTAAAGTTTACGTTTTAACTGTCATTATGACATGCAAAGACATATAAGGTAATAAATCATTACAGTGCATTTTATGGTAAAAAATATTAGAATTAAAGACATTTTTAAAAGAAAATATTAAAATGTCCACTTTATCAAGTATAAAATAAATTGAGTATGGAATGCTGAATTTAAGTCGTAAGAACAGTCAGTGTCACTTAGCGACCATTTCGCTTAAGGACCTGGTGGCTGAAACGGAACCCGGTTACTGAAAGAAGAAAAGATACGAAGTATTTGCAATTAATTCTATTGTAACTTTTGGGCAAAACTCGTTGAGAAATTACATCATCCTGCAATTTCAAGTTCAGAACAAGAGATGGCAGCAGTAAAGGTACATTTAAAAACCAAGGGCTGTTCTGTTCTGCCTCATGGCGCTAGGCCAATGTTTAGGAGTGTAGTATGGGCATGGATACCCTGGCAGATTTGGGGGGGGGGGACTTTACAGTGGCCCTGTGTCCATAAAATTGGGCAAAGGGAAGACCAACATTGTCTTAGACGATGGGTCCTGCTTCTGGCTGCTCAGGTTATTTGCCTTGTGTGCAGCCAGGCAGTTGTGGTGGGCCGGACTGTATATGTCTCAGGGCAGCTCGGATTGGACCCCACGTCGGGACAGCTGGTGACTGGAGGGGTGCAGGCCCAGGCCAAGCAGGTGAGGTTTCTGCGTTGTTTTTCGGAGCAGGTCAGAAAAAGAGGCAGAAATAAACAGGACCAATATTGTTTTGCTCTTCCCTTTGTTCGACTCTTTAAATGACACCCTTTAGTTTGTCTTGCACCCCCACCTTTGCCCACTCTTAGCCATATGTTGTGATCTTTCTCTCCCTCCCTCTCTGACATCATTCTCCCCCCACAGGCTCTGACTAACATGGGGGAGATTCTGAAAGCAGCGGGTTGCAGATACAACAATGGTGAGACACTACACTCTCATTCCGCAGACGGCCGAAATGTCTGTATCTCAGTTACCCACTATACTTGCTATATAGTTTACACCACAGTAAAATCTTCTATAGCCCAATTCAGTGGTGGCCAATCTTACCCACAAAGGGCCGGTGTGTATGCAGCCAGGTATGAGAACACTTCAGCCAATCAGTCCTCTAATTAGTAATCTAGTTAGGGAGTTGCAGTGGAAGCCTCCATACACAGCAGTCTTTCCTGAATAAGGTTGACCACCCCTGAATTAGGCTATAGAAGATTTTACTGTGGTATAACTATATATTTAGTATATAAACAAGGGGGTGGTGTTGGCTCAGTGGTAACACTATAGCCTTAGACCTCCCAGGCTGCGGGTTCACTCCCCCACACCTGTCTGTGTGCATGTATATGAAGGACTGGGTGAACTGGTGGCCCTGAACAGTCTGTAGTTCATCACATACAGGTTGTCACCCGCTTTGTAAGCAGTGGATAAGCAGTTATGAAAATGGATGGATTATGTTTACATAATATGAAATTATGTTCAACCAGTTTTGCATGTCTTTTTTTCAAAAGTGTTTTCCTTTTCTAGTTGTCAAAACCACGGTGCTCTTGGCTGACATAACCGATTTCAACCTTGTGAACGATGTTTATAAACAATGTAAGTAAAGTGTCTATTTGGGAAGTCATTGATTGATGAACAACTGCAGTTCAACTTACAATCCACTGTTATGCAATTATCCTGTACTTCCGTAAGTGTCCAGAGGGTGGCACCGTTTCCCCAAGAACAAATATAGATGAAGAAAAAGAGTAACGTATAAACTTAAATAGTTCATGATCGCCCGACATAAAACATACTAATAATTGATCTACTCACAGCTGTACCAGTCTGAATGTGACAAAACTCAGAAATGGCTGAGGCATGAGGTACATTATCCAATGCTGTGCCATGATAGTCAAGGTTTCTTGCAAGTTTACACTGCACAAGTAGAACGAATGGATCTTCATTTTATTTTTAAACAATAATCATGTCAATGGTGTTCATCTAGAAACACACAATCCTTTATATCCTTTATTTTTATGGAGATTCATGAGATGTCTGGTCTAAAATGAACTACACTTCTATGCACATTTGTTTGGGCAGACAGCCCCCCCCCCCCCCCCCGGCCCCTGCCAAACATAACTGAATACGCAACCATATCCTGGTAGCCGAGGGAAACGGGACACTGCGAAGCCCAGTGCAACCCGAGCTCCCCTAGACAATGTCTGCAGGCCCCACCTCCCCTCACAGGGAACTTTCCATGGCCTTACACACACACACAGCCACACAGCATGCAAGCAGTCTGACACATGAATTAGCACTATAAGACTTTGTGCATCTGTATAACTGGACCCAGTAAAAAACTGATGTGTCCCCCCCCTCTCAGTTTTTACCAGCAACTTCCCGGCTAGAGCAGCCTACCAGGTCGCTGGCCTACCCAGAGTAAGCGCCTCTCAAACTGTCGCATTTCCTGCAGAGATGGGCTATGAATTCATTCCAACATCACATCACGTCACATCTCTCTCTCTCTGCTAAGGGGGGACTTGTGGAGGTTGAAGCTGTTGCAGTTTTGGGGCCCATCACTGATGTTCCGTGACACACTGGTCTCTGAATGCGAGGCCCATGTGCCAAAGGATCCCATTCTGAGTGAAATGTAAGGATCTGCGGTGGACAGGCTGATAAACTGCTTATCACAAACTTGTTTCTGCTCATTCTTCGTGTTCAGGCTCATGACCACACTGATGTAATGCGGTATTGTGATGCAACTTCTCAGGCGGCAGCCCGCTTGTATCTAGCCATTGACATGAACTTCATTCAGAAGCCTGAAGCAGCTACCAGCGTGTCAACATGTACTCATTACTTCTCACCTGAACTGTGTTTATTGCATTGATCGACATTACTTATATAATATTGTACATGGGCTCAAAATAAGAGCATCTTCAGACTGTTATAGATCAGTGTTTCCCAATCTGGTCCTTAGGGACACACAGACAGTCCATATTTTTGCTCCAGGAGCTGGGAGGGAGCAAAAATGTGGACTGACTGTGAGTCCCTGAGGACTGGATTGGGAAACAGTGTTATAGATTATTTATACAACAACATTAACATAACAGATCTGAGGGCTGTTCCACGAAGCAAGATTTCTTGCTTAGCCGGATAACTTGTCGGATTTAAGGTAGTCTGGGCTAAATGCAAGGGAACGAAAATAAAGTCCATTTCACCCAGACTACCTTAAATTTAAGAAGTTATCTGGCTAAGCAAGAAATCCTCCTTCATGGAATACCCTCCTGCTCTTTAAATCTCTGTTCATAGAAACCTTGCTGCATCACAGCAGAATAATACACACATTGATTTACTGCCTCAGCTTTAAGCATTGAAAGCATTCTGAAGTCACCTGTTTTTACAGTGTTATTACACTATGTACAAAGGGAGTATTTACACAAAAGGCACCGTGTCCGAGAGTCCAAGCTCCCACTGCTTAGCTGCTTAATTCTTGGCAACAGGAAAGTGGAAATGAGTCCAGAGCATGCATCTGTCCTGCATCCTCTCGCTTGGGTTTGTGGAAACTTCTCCATTTTCATGAACAGGAATGGACGGATTCACTCATTTTCACTGGGAGCTGAAAAAGTAAAAAGCGGAACTAACCAGCTGAAAGTCGTATTTATGCTTGCTGTTTTTAGCAGCCATATTTACCTGTTAACGGGTAAGTGGGTTTTAAAGCTTAGGCACTGCTCACCCTGGGCTTCCTCGTGGCTGGGGGCCGTGGCATCGCTGTGCTCATTTGGGACCGACTCAGCCGCCCCCTCTGATTCGGAGAGGAGGAAGAGACCACATGGAAACAGCAAGTGCTGGTTAGTTAGGGTTTCGATTAGGGTGAGGCTGCATTAGTCCTAAACAGTATCTTTCAGTTCTTATATTTCATCTCAAAACTTTGGTGCCTGGGGGAAGCAAGAGTCCTGCTTCGTGGAGAGAATCTCCCTGACATGGATGATCTGGCCACCCAGACACTGAAGGTATTAATGACGCAGCACAAACAGAAGCAGTGCATGCAGGGAAATGTCAACTCTGTTGTGCAGATCCCTTTACTATTAGGAGGTTTCGATAAGTGGTACTTTGAACAAATTAAACTGATGTAATAGAACCTGCTTCATTGTGAGTTGTTATTTTATGCCAATCAGACTCTTAAAGCACCATTTAGGAAACATACAGGTGCTGGGATATATTAAATGTTCTGACCTCTTTTTCCAGACAAGCACAGTTCTCTCAGGCACTAGAAATTTGAATAAAATGCAGGGATGCACAGAAAGATGGACAAAGGCTGCAGAGACGCTCAGAGGCTGCGTCCTCATAATGGAGGAAAGAGCCATTCAGCGTCTGGCAGAAGTTGCCCACCTCAGATTTAGGTAACGACTCCTGCCATATGCTCAGCTATGCTATACTCAGCTATACTCAGCTATACTCAGCTATACTCAGCTATACTCAGCACTGAGTTGCGGCCCACAGTCATGCATCCTCAGCCCCTGAATGCATGTTGCTCACTGAATACCTCTTGGTAAAACAAGCTAGTGGGAGTGTACAGATGAAGCAGGGATCAGTCACCAATGATACCTCACCCAGCTTCTGGTTACATGGTAGATACAGTACAATACCTTACACAGTGGGGATCACTGGGCCCATTTACGGGTCATAGCAGGGGTTGTATTAAATTAATACTAAATCCAGTATAGATGTTTTCATACCACTTTAAGTATCAGTGTGGTAATAGAGTTTGATTATGAGCTCTTCCTATTAACTATGGCAGTGCCTCAAATCTTACTAATGAAAGAGCATCGTGTCAGATTCAGATGTTACTCAGTTCTATGTTATTGCTGTTAAATTTCAGCTTTAGGTTCTGCTTATCTCTCGAATGAGATTTACTTCGAATAGGATGGTGGGATATGTGCATGAGAGAATGAATGGGACAGGAAGAGGGGACCGGCATGATGGGTATACCCCGGTCTTCCGGTGACTCAGCTGGGGCAGCGCTGCAGGCTGAGCTCACCCTACCCCCATCTAGGGTCTCATCTAAGGCTTCCTCCTCCAGGGAATGTGGTTCACTGCATCCCTGTTGATTAGGATCTTTAACAGCCACCGCCTCCTCCTCTGTGCCGGCAGCCTGATCGCGGCCTTGCCCAAGAGCCTCGTCAGCGTGCAGATGGTTCGGGTCGGGGATGGTCTCAGTATCTTCAGTGATGCTCCTATTTTCGCTGCGGGCATCTGTCAAATGAGAGGGTGACAGATACACCACAAAACTATACAGCAAATCGTCCTGAGACAGGGAAGTGTCTAAGTTCAGTCCAATACCATATGTTGTCTCATTTGAGTGCCACATGTTTTAGGTGGCAATAATAGAGGAACTCAGGAGGAGTCTAACTGTAAGCTGGACTCGGCCATGTGTGCTTAATAACATCCCCTCTGTGCACAAATCCTGGAGCAGTACTGAGGCTTATGAGACCAAACAATGGTGCTGGAACTTCTACTGAGCAATAATAGCACCAGCAGGAGCATTCCTAGGGTTGTGTTACTGTGTTCTCATTCAGTTTCACTAAAATCAGTCCCCCTAGTAATGGCTTAGCCGCCCTTTTCATAAATCTCTAGTGAGCCCCACTCAACTGAGCATCAGTTTAGTTTGGCGTAACTGTATAAAAGAGCCACCTGGGAAAGGTACCGGTTTGGTGAATAGTCTGAAAGAACCGCATAGGAAAGGCAGCGGCCCCAGTTACAGGCACTGTGCTAAATGAAGTAGCCCACAAAATATCATCCTATCAGATAAGCAAGGTACCACGTGACCAAAACAGATGAACTGACCTATCAGAGTCAGGAATGTAAAAGACCGATAAGACGAATTATCAATAACATAGAAGAGGAAAGGAAACGGGAGACACTTCATCCTCTGAATAACTTTATAGGCCACTAGAAAAACACCTGACAAGTCTGTACACGTTAATGTTTCCAGACATCACCTAGACTGTCAGACAACCAGTGTTAAAAAGTAAACCAGAGGCAGCGCACTGCAGCTTAAATAAAGAACATGGGTCTACGTGTCAAGTGTGGTTTAAACGCGGACGTTTAGTGACAAGCACATCATGAAAGCTTGAACCCCGTCGTTTAGCAACGGTACACCGAAAGTAGCAAGGGCACGCGACCGAAGCAAAGCGGCCACCTCCGGTTCTCCCTGAAATTAAAGATGTCACATAATCCTGTGTACAGTGACACAAACATGGGGAAGAAATCGTCTGAGAACTAAGAAAGACCCGCAAAACGGGCCAGGTAAACAATGCGAGTGTGTCTTTTACAAGCAAGCATCAGGCCGCACACGTTCTGCCTTTAATAATATATAACATTTATTATCCACTAGCATTTAAGAAATAAATGGCATTCCTCAATTTAAAATTTCACGGGTAGTTAAAATTACTTTAAAGGGATTTGCTTAATTGGCAAAGTGTAGTTTCAAATGTAAAGTTTTAAGATCGATAAATCAAGTTGAGACAAACACAGAGTAAACATGCTGTATGGTAATTTCACAGTATGAGATCCGCGCTGCCAAAAGCGTCCCAGTGGCGTTAATAAAAGAGATCGATGAAGAGCTACAATGACTATACGACAATAATACTCTTTAATAATAAAATACATGCATCATTTGGTTTTAGATGGCACGGGAATTGAAGTATTAAATATCTGAATTGTTCCTTGGATTTCCCTAAGAAAGTTTGCAGTTTCAAAATACCACCGACTTGAAGTTTCCCCGGGAGACACGTAGATAATACGATTTCAACTAATCTGGCAAAAGTAAAAACTTAAACTCAATGCCTTTGGGAATAAACAGACGTCGTACTCAAAGCACAAGATTCTGTAAATCCTATTCCGTAATGTCTGGGCTTTGACAAAGTGGATGTAGCTGCATTTTGACTCACCAGCGACACTCGCTCCGTTGGTCTCCGGCTTCGCTCTTGATCTGCTCCTCTCTCTTGCTATAGTCTGAGTACTGCTTGAACATCCCATCCTGACTGGGAATATGAAAGAAAAATCAAAACGAACAATTAAAAGCCCGAAGTATTTATAAAAAAACATAAATATCGATAACTCCCGTGGCATGAAGTTCAGAGTGACTGTTTGAAGTCACTTAACGCCTTTATATCGCCAAACGCGTCTTTACGCATGACTGGCGCCCTGGGCTACGGAGGAACGTCGGCACGGTGTGAATGAGAGACCGTGAGGATGTCCGGGTTATGCTGATGTTCATGCTGATGTTGGTGCTGAGGAGGACCAGTCCAGGAGCATGCGTGCCGGAACCAGCCTTTGCCGAGGAGCAGTCGCCCATGCAGACCATGTGTGCAGGATCCTGTCCAAACATTTTTAAATGTTAATCATAGTTTCAAACGTCGCAGATGTGCAACCCTGCACTCACATGATAGACAGGACAAGTCGTTTTTTTTTAAGTTGGACAACCTCACAGTTACGAGTCCTTGCCCTGTGTCATATTATAATTATGACGGCTTTTGGAATACTAACACTTTGGCCACATATCTTATTAAAATTCGCCCTGGATAAAAAATATAGCCATTCATTTGCAATGGTGGTACCTTTGGGCGGTTTTCAGTCCCACAGTGCTGTGTACAGGTTATTTTTAAAACATTTTTGAGTTGTACACACTTATC